GGTAGTTAAAATCACCTATTACGACACAGTGTTTTTGTCTAGCTGCTATCTTTAATTCATTCATCATTTTATAATCCTCCTCTATCTTTTGATCCGGTGGGCGATAACAAACTCCCAGTGTTAAGTTTCCTTTTGGCCCCCCTATTTCAACCCACAGAACTTCAAGAAGCGAATCCAATTCTCTTAGCCTCTCGATCTTTCTGGACTTTATACCCTCTCTGACATACAGAGCCACCCCACCTCCAACCCTTCCCCCCCTATCCTTCCGATATAATATATAACCGGGAATCACCGTATCCCACTGATTTTCCTCATCCCACCAAGTTTCTGAAATACCCACAATGTCTATTTTTCCCTCTGACACCAAGCACTCCAACTCCCCGATTTTACCTCGGACACTTCGAGCATTTGTATAGAAACAGCTGTAATTTCCCATACTGGTTAAGCCTGCCACCTTCCTCTTGCAATCTCGAGACCTTGTCAGGCAGTCCATGTCACTAGCCATGGTCTCAGTGGACAATTTCAATCCACCTCCCTGTAGAAAAGCAACAGGTACCCCCTCATCTCTCTGAGATGAGCCAACCCGAACCAGAGACTTTTCATCTCCTGTCGGCTTTCCCCCAATATTCAGTTTAAAAACTGCTCTGCCACCTTTTTGATTTTAAGCGCCAGCAGCCTGGTTCCTTCTCGGGACAAGTGGAGACCGTCTCGCCTGTACAGCTCCCTCTTGTTCCAAAAAGAATCCCAGTGCCTAACAAACCTGAACCCTTCCCCTCTACACCATCGTCTCATCCACGCATTGAGACTCCTGATCTGTGCCTGTCTCTCCGGCCCTGCGCGTGGAACAGGTAGCACTTCTGAGAAGGCTACCTTGGAGGTCCTGGCCTTGAGTTTCCTGCCCAGCAGCCTAAATTTCTCCTCCAGGACCTCACGACTGCATTTCCCCACATCGTTGGTGCCGACATGCACCACGACCACTGGCTCCTCCCCAGCACTATCTACCAGCCTATCTAAAACACGCGTAATGTCCGCTACCTTTGCACCAGGCAGGCAAGTCACCATACGGTCAGTACGCGGGTTCGCCACCCAGCTGTCTACCTGCCTAAGGATCGAATCACCCACTACCAAGAGCCCCCCTCCCACCCTGCCCAGGGATGGTTCCTTGGTGCAAAAGGATAACCGCTCACCAGCTGGGGAAGAGGTCCCTTCTGAGGGCACATTCCCCTTATCCTCAGCACGGTGCCCTGTTTCCCCTAGACCCTCATGCTCCCTGACAGCAGCGGGGCTGCCAGATCCAGAGTGGGACGTAGCTAACAAGTCCCCGAGAGTCTTTTCTGTGCGCCTAGCTGACTGTCTCTGCTTCTCCAGGTCAGCCACCTTGGCCTCAAGGGAGCACACACGTTCCCTGAGAACCAGGAGCTCCTTGCACCGAGCACACACCCAAGACTTCTGCCCAGTGGGCAGATAGTCATACATGTGACACTCTGTGCAAAACACTGGATAGCCCCCAACCCCCTGCTGGCATTCTGGCTTCATAATTCTTTTAAAATAAGTAAATGTAATCCCCCTTTTAAATCCCTTTGTATTTATGTGTTTTTTTCTTGTCAAAGTCAAATTACTTTATGGGGAAAACAAGGAGCCTAGGGTTTTCACTTTCTGCCTCTTCTTGGGCGTCTCACAGAGCCCCTAGTCCAAGAGTCCCTGGGCTAAGAGCCACGGGCAAAGAGCCCTTTAGCTCGCCCTTCGGCTCGTGCCAGAGGCTCGTGCCTCTGGCAAGGTGCTTCCTTAAATAGAGGCCTCCCCCAGCAGAGTGCTGGCAGCAGCTATTCAAATGCACCCAGGCACTCAATCACATGCAAAACAATGCCCCTTCCTTTTCCTCTCAATTGCAGTCAATCACAGTCAAACAATGCCCTTTCCTCTCTCAAGCAGCCAGGAATCTGCAAAAACTCCAAGCGCTTCCACACACTCCCAGACCAGTTCTCCCACCAAAATCCTCAGCTGGATCCTCTCCGCTGAAAGCAAATAAAAAACCACTCACCCCTCTGTCTCCTGCTCCTGCTCCTGCTCAGAGCTCAGCTGGGTCTCCAGGTCTGATACTAGGATTCAAAGCCGCATCGAAGGAGGCTTTGTACCTCGTAAGAACATCAGAAGAGCCTCGGCCACCTTCCAGCCTGCGTCCCATCCCAAAGGTGGCAGACAGTGGGGCAAGGAAAACAAACTCCTCTCCGACATTGGTGTTGTGCAACGCCAGGTCCATAAACAATAAGACCTCAGTCCTGCGGGACCTCCTGCTGGAGCAGGATGTGGACCGAGACCTGGATACGAGACAGGGAGACTGTTGCTCTTTCCCAGTTGGCTCCTCCTGGGTTCTCGGTCCTTCACCAATCTCGGACTTTGGGGCGGGGGGGGGGGAGGAGGGGCTTTGTTCATTCGGGAGGCTTACTCCTTCAGGGCGCTCCCAGCGGTGAGGATCGCAGGCATTGAGTGTGTCGGCTTTGTGTGAGAAGCTGGGGAGAGTTTGGCTGTCTGGCTAGTGTACCGACCGCCCAACGCACGGGCAGACAGCCTGCCATCTCTGGTGGAGGCTGTATCAGGCTGGGCACTGGAACACCCTAGGCTGTTAGTCCTGGGTGACGATGCGGCCTCCTCCCAGGCGGTGGACCTAGCATCGTCCATGGCGGCGCTGGGACTCTCCCAATATGTAACGGCCCCCACGCATCAGGCCGGTCACACGCTTGATTTGATCTTCGCGACAGGGGTTACAGTGGACCGGATTACTGCTACGGCAGTCCCATGGTCGGACCACCATGCCCTGAAGGCCCGAGTGAACTTGTCACCCCAACCCTGTTTGGGCGGTGAGCGGATTCTGGCTCGCCCTCGGAACCTAATGGACCCTTTGTGGCTTCAGATGGCTCTCCGGGATCCATTGCCCCCTGGTGGCTCGTTAGATGAGCTAGTCGAGGACTGGCATAGCCGACTCTCGGCGGCCATTGACGAGATCGCTCCCAGACGCCCTCTGCGCCCTCGCACAAGGCTGGCTCCTTGGTATACCCAGGAGCTGAGGCTGATGAAACGAAGGCTCAGACAGCTAGAGAGACAGTGGCGGCGAGTTCGTGATGAAGCGTCAAGAGCATCCTATCAAACGTTTATGAAATCGTATGAGATGGCAACCAAGGCTGCGAAGGAGGACTTCTATGCAGCCGAAATTGCGTCTGCAAGCTCGCACCCAGCACAATTGTATAGAATGATTCGGTCTCTAACCACCCTGCCTCAGAGCAGTCAAAATGTCAGGGAATTGGATACAGGCTGTGAGGCTTTCGCAAGCTATTTTGCAGATAAAGTCTTGCTGCTCCGCCGCGACCTCCCAGCCACACTTGAGACAGTATGCAAACTCGAGGCCCCATGCGCGTCTTCTGGTTCCATTCTGGATTGTTTCAGCCCTCTCAGCCTAGAGGAAGTTGACAGATTGATCTCAACTGTACGACCAACCACATGCAGCCTTGATCCGTGCCCCTCCTGGCTAATTAAAGCTGGCCGCGAGGGGTAACGAGGCACCCTTAGGGACATTATCAACAGGCCCCTCTTGGAGGGCCTTTTCCCAGGGGCTCTCAAGGAAGCGATGGTCCGTCCTCTCATAAAAAAAGCATCCTTGGACCCGGCCGAATTGGCCAACTATCGGCCGGTCTCCAATCTTCCCTATTTGGGCAAATTAATAGAGAGGGCGGTGGCGATACAGTTGCAGAGCTTTCTGGATGACACTTCCACGCTGGATCCCTTCCAGTCTGGCTTCCGCCCTGGTCATGGGACGGAGACAGCACTGGTCGCCCTCACGGATGACCTCCGGAGGCATTTGGATCGGGGCGGGACGGCGGGGCTCCTGTTGTTGGATCTGTCGGCGGCGTTCGACATGGTCAACCATCAGCTCCTCACCCACCACCTCGCTGACGTGGGGATTTGGGGGCTAGCCTTGCAATGGCTTGTCTCCTTTCTCCAAAGTTGGAGACAAAGGGTGGCGCTTGGGGAAGAGATGTCCCGAAGGCACCCACTAGTTTGCGGAGTGCCCCAAGGGGCAGTGCTCTCCCCAGTGTTATTTAACATCTATATGCGCCCCCTTGCCCAGATGTATGTGCTTGGGTGTCACCAATATGTGGATGACACCCAGCTCTATCTGTTGTTGGGCGGTCGGTCTGGCTCTACCCTGGAAGATCTGGACCGGGCGTTGCAGGACGTGGCGGGATGGCTTAGGCTGAGTCATCTGAAACTGAATCCGACGGAGGTCCTTTGCCTGAATCGGAGCGGCTCGGGGTTAGGGGCCCCTATTCCGGCCTTCGGTGGGGTGCCAGCACCGAGGGTCAGGAGTTTGGGTGTGCTCCTGGATGCTTCACTGACAATGGAGGCCCAGTAGCGGCCACTGCTAAGGCAGCCTTTTATCACCTTCGGCTGAATAGGCAGTTGGTTCCCTTCCTCGAGCACAATGATCTGGCTTCAGTGATCCACGCTATGGTCACCTCGAGGATAGACTACTGTAATGCTCTCTACATGGGGCTGCCCTTGGGGCAACTTCGGAAGCTGCAGCTGGTGCAAAATGCGGCAGACAGGTTGTTGATGGGTCTCCCCAAGTGGGAGCACATCTAGCCTGTGCTGAAGGCATTGCACTGGCTTCCAATAACTTCCGGATTCGCTTCAAGGTGCTGGTTTTGACCTTTAAAGCCCTAAATGGTCAGGGGCCTGCCTACCTGAGGGACCGCCTCTCCCTGTACATTCCCCCAAGAGCACTGCGGTCTGGATCACAACACCGCCTGGCCCCCCCGGGCCTAGGGAGGCCAGGTTGATGGTAACCCGGACCAGGGTGTTCTCCCTGGTGGCGCCAATGCTGTGGAATGAGCTCCCTAATAAAATTAGAGCGCTACGGGTCCGACCAGTGGTCCATCTAGACCAGCATCCTAATGCCTCAGAATGTGGAGGTTCCCCTCAGTCACCAACATCTCCTCACATACCATGTGAAGTCTCTTGAAAAGCTTTTTTTATCTCTCTCAACAATTCTTCGGCCACGGCTGGCAGGGTGGCGTCCATCCTAAGACTGCACCACGGATCCCTTTTTCTGTAGGAAAAACAAACACATGCAGAATTGTTATTAAAGGATAACGACGAGGCTCTTGTTCCCCAGAAAAGGGCAAGACAAGGGCTCCATTTATTTAACCTTGGTAAATCTAAGGTTTCATTTGTTTTTAATTGAGAGGAAATGAGTTCTCAGATATCTTCATACTGCTGAGTGGGCTCTGGGTATTTCAGACCCAACACACTCATTGGCGAAGCCTTCCCTTCACTATACCAAAGGCCAGAAAGAAAAAAACAGAGAGAGAGAGAGAGAGAGAGAGAGAGAGAGAACAGACATGCCTCCCCAGTCCTACCTACACACAAGCTAGTCCACAGCCTATCTGATTAAAGTGCATAATGCCCCCCAATAAGGCACCTGCAGAGAAGAAAGTGTGCCATCACGAAGCAATCTGTTGTTGTTGTTCAGTCGCACAGTCGAGTCCGACTCTTCGTGACCCCATGAACCAGATCCCGCTAGGCCCTCCTGTCTTCCGCCGTCCTCTGAAGTTTGCTCAACTTCATGTTCGTTGCATCTATGACACTGTCTAACCATCTCATCCTTTGCCGTCCCCGTCTTCTTTGACCTTCAATCTTTCCCAGCATCAGGGTCTTCTCCAGTGAGAGCTCCCTTCTCATTTGGTGGCCCAAAGTATTTGAGCTTCAGTTTAATTATCTGGCCTTCCAGATAATCTGACCCAGCAATAAACAACAACACACCTCAGCAATCGGATTAGATTAAAAGAAAATTAAGCTGAGCAGGGATCCAAAGAGCTGGCACACCCAAAGGATGGCCAGCTACATACCTTGGCACTCATAAGCCATAGAACACACTACTCTGGACTCAATCAGCTGCAGAATCAGCTTGTTTTGTGGTGGGGCACTGATGTTGCAAAACACCCAGTCACATCACAACAGTCCCTGTGTAGTCTAAGTTGGGAAGCAGGTACAGCATTCGGATTGCTCCCGTAACTGAAACTGGCTAGCCTCTGGAGGGTGGGGAAGCCCCCTTGCCAATTTCAGCCCCAGTGGTCAGACCAGCCAAAGCTTCTTGACAAAATCTCTGAAGGCAATCTGGGGTGTTTTAGTTCTGCTCGCAAACTCGGGGTCATTTTCATCAACAGAAGTTGCTACAAAATTTTACCACCCTGCAAATCCAGTTTGAAACCCCCCATTTCAATTTTGCGTCTCCTTCTGTGCAAATCACACTTGTCTTTATTTCTGCATTGTTTTCTGTTCCCTGACACTGAATGATCCCCTTACATTTATGCAACTTTAAATTCTGATCCGTTGTGTGTCTCACACGCAAACGGCTTAACAATGGCATCAAAGCAACACAGAGACATGACATGAAGCTGCCTTGTACTGAATCAGATGGTTGGTCCATTGAGGTGAGTACTGTCTACTCAGACCAGCAGCAGCTCTCCAAGGCCTCAGGCAGGATCTTACATCACCTAGTGCCCAATCCTTTAACTGGAGATGCCTGGGACTGAACTGGGGACCTTCTGCGTGCCAAGCAGACGCTCTGCCACAGAGCCATGGCCCCTGCCCGACAAACTGAGAGCCAGTCTGGGGTAGTGGTTAGTGTCTCGGACTAGGTTCAGATCCCTGCTGCATCCTGGAAGCTCACCAGGTGATCCGGGGCCAGTCACTCACACACAGCCTAACCTACCCCACCAGTGGTGGTGTTAAGAATAAAACAGGGGGGAAAGCGAGAGAGAATTGGATACCATTTTATGACTGGGTGGAAAGAAACTTTGAAGACCACGAACAATGAACATAACTGTTATAAACTCTAACTTGAACTGTACGGAACTTGACTTTTTTTCAGGACTCATTATAGAAGATTTTAGCGATCCAAGTTAAGCGTCACTAGCTTTAGTAAATATATAAACAAAAGAGATCTGGAAACAAAGAATTAAGACAGAAAATTTGTAACAGCTATTATATAAATTGGATGGAACTTCCCTTTATGTCTTATCCCATCCCATGTACCCTTCCTACCCTATTATGTATTAAAGTAAAGGTAAAAGGTTCCCTTGCTCGAAAGCCAGTCGAATCCGACTCTAGGGTTGCGGTGCTCATCTCCGTTTCAAAGCCGAAGAGCCAGCGCTGTCTGAAGATGCTTCCGTGGTCATGTGGCCGGCATGACTAAACACCAAGGTGCACGGAACGCTGTTACCTTCCCACTGAAGTGCTACCTATTTATCTACTTGCAATTTTCTTGCTTTCGAACTGCTAGGTTGGCAGGAGCTGGAACTAGAGACGGGAGCTCACTCCATCTTGCGGCACCCGGGTCTCGAACTGCTGAACTACTGACCTTCCACAGCCTGCAGTTCAGCGTCTTAACCACTTGAGCTAAATAAAACTTAGAACCAAATAAAAATTTATGAAAAAAATAATAAAATGGGAAAAGGGAGGATTGTCACTTTGGAACCACACTGGGGAGAAAGTGGGGAATACATGAAGTAAAGGAACCGACGCCAGCAATGAAAAGGGGCAAAACGATATGCAAATGTGAAAAAGCACGTATTTCTACACGTATAACCTACTCTGCACCTCTGGAAACAATAATAAATATAGGTAAATTGGAATCATTTATTTTATTGTTTTACTGAGCTGGATTCTGTGTCTTTGCAAGAGGTTTGGTGAGCAGAACATAGGAAAATGAAGCTTTTCTCCATGCTGTTAAATATTTCACCTATTGGACTTCTACACGGAAGTCTGAATGGCAAAGACCGTTAATAAAAATATGATAAACCTAAATGTGAGTAAGTGTCGGGCTTTTCTGTAAGAGAAGGCAAGGTTTCGAGGTTCACGGAATCCCTCATCTGTTGAACAAAACCCAGAAACTTGTATTCTCCGCCCTCATACCACCACCCGGGTTTGGCTCCACTGAAGTCAGATTCATCTTGTTTGTTTCGTTTGTGTAATCTGTTTCCCTGCTTCAGACCAAGTGAGCAATCTGTTGCCTACCAGACGACATTATGAAAGAGAGCCGTCAGCGGCAAAGCAATGAGGGCTGGAAAAGATATCAGATGGGAAGGCAGGAGAGAAATTAATATATTGGGAGGTTGAAGGAGAGATAAAGTTAATGCAGTTTTGCCTGGCTGCTCCTCAGAACAAGCAAAGAACGATCAGTGCCCCCCCCCCCCCCCCCCCGTCACCCCATCCCTTGTTTTTTCTTTGCACTGCATGCTTGGCAAAACAGAGAGCAGCAATTCTGGCCCCAGTAAAAGATCCTGGGATTCTGACCTCTGGGGATATTAATATTTAAGGCGAACACTGAGGTCCGCTTCATGGCTTTGTTTTGTCCTCCTCGTCGGCCACAGACAGAGAAACCCTGGAGTGGAGACAGAGGTATATCCCTGAAAACAATCCAACATATTCAAAGCCTTGGAACGGGCGGCCTAGAATGCTGCAATAGGGGAGGCAGGAGTGACAGCCAGGAAGCCCCGGCGTTAAAGGGCAGCAACAACTCTTGGTCCCTAGCCTCTGGGAGCAGCTTCCCTCACACCATCAATTTATCGTTGAGGAAGGCGACAAATTATACTTTTATATTGTATTATTTATTTAATTCATTTGCACCTTGCCTTTTCCCCCAGTGGGGACCCAAAGCGGCTTACACTGTTCTCTTCCCGAAAACCCCGTGAGGTAGGTTAGGCGGAGAGAGTGTGACTGGCCCAAGGCCAACCAACAGGCTTCCACGGCACGATTGGGGATTCAAACCCAGGTCTCCCAGACACTAGTCCGACACTCTTAACCACTATGCAACTCTGGATTTGTTCCTGGTAGTTTTACTTGGGGGAGGAGATTAATTTTAATATACTTGATTGCAGGGGTCATTTTGTAGAAAAAGAGGTTCAGGAGCTCATTAGCATATTTGCATATGCCACAGCCCTGACATCACTGGAAGTGTGTCAGAAGGCAACACCCACCCCTCAGGCTCCACTGGACTGTTTTGGATGGCTAGCTATTGGGCGGGGGGGGGACGTGCAGATCTGCCCTCGCAGAGGAGGGAGAGCTTGTACCTGAATAAAACTGGGTCTTAAAGGTGCCACTGGACTGTTTTGGACCAGGGGGCTGGGCGGGCTCTACAACTTACCTGGCTGCTTCTTGCTCTGACTGAGGGCTGCTGGGAGCAGGGGGTGGGGCTTGTTGCATGTGCCCGCCCCCTGGGCTCTTTACTGCCGGAGCTCCGCTCCTGTGCGCTCCTGCAGGAAATGACCCCTGCTTGATTGTATTTTGGCAGCAAGTGGAATGCTGTCTTGGACGCTGTGCCCAAAAAGGCAGGGTTGCCAGCTCTGGATTGGGAAATACCTGGAGATTTTGGGGGAGAGCAGCGTTTGTGGAGGGGAGGGCAGGGTAGAATGCCGCAGAGTCCACCCTCCAGAGCAGCCATTTTCTCCAGGGGAACTGATCTTGATCATCTGGAGAACAACTGTAATAGTGGGAGATTTCCGGGCTCCATCTGGAGGCTGGCAACCCTACAAAAACGTGGGATTCACATTATACCATAAAACTGAAGTAAACTGATTTTTTAAAAAGCTTCTGTAGTCACAGAAGGCAACGGTGACCTAGTCTCTACCAGTGCTCCCTCTCAGCTGCGGAGTCTTGTGAGCAAAAATTCTACTCTGTGAGCTACCGGCATTAAAGTTGTGAGCGAGCCATTTGGCTACTGCATAAAATTAGTTTGTCCTGGAGCCATCCTTCCTGAGCTAAGACAAAAGTGTGTGAGCCGGAGGCTAAAAAACTGTGAGCTAGCTCACACTAACTCAGCTTAGAGGGAACACTGGTCTGCTCTGCACCACCCCTATCACCTCCCAAAACAAAACTGTATTTGGATTTATGCCCCTGAACTCTGGTATTTAAAGTCTGTCATCTGCAAAAGCAAAACAAAACATTTTCTGCTTTAATTCCCCCCCTCTGTTAAAACAATAGAGTTCCTAGTCCTTATGAACACAGATTCAGCGACAGCAGCACTTGAAAGCCAAGCCATTGCAAATGCAAGATACTGAAAGGTGTGAAACGATAGAAAAGGGCAAAAGTCCAGTAGCACCTTAAAGACTAATAAAATTTGTGGCAGGGTGTGGGCTTTTGTCACTGCTCACTTCTTCAGACTCGTGAAACGCTCACGCCCTGCCACCAATTTTGTTAGCCTTGAAGGTGCTGCTGGACTCTTCCTCTTTGCTGCTACTACGGACAGACTAACAGGCTACCCATCTTGATCTATCTCCATGTGAAAATAATGTATGAAGTTCTTCCAATGTTTCACAGGTAGAAACAGGGGCTTCCTTGTAATGCTTCTACTCTGGAGCCAGGAATTACAGTCTGGGTCTCCTCCTTTCCTATAACATGGCAGTATGTAACTTGGAATGCACTGCTGCAGCCAGCGGTATGAAAAAAGTGACAAGCATAAGAAGGATTACAACGTAATTACAGAACCAGCAACACCAGGGAATAAGACGCTAAATACTTAAAGAACTAATTAAATAAACATAATTGAAAACTTAACATTTGTGATTATTTATCTCTTTTTTAACTGTACCATATGTAGAATGCCGATTAAAGTACAATTACAATTTTACAGCTGTATAGTATAAAATCTAAACAACCAATTTCATGAGCTAGGTAATTTCCAAACTAATGAAGACATCAACATCAGGAAAATAATCAGTTGTAACAGGGTGAATTCAATTATAGAACTTCAACAACACCCGAAGAGTCATCTAGTCATCTGGTGTTGTTGAAGTTCTATTGTACACTTAAGAAGAAGAGAAGAAGAAGAGATTGGATTTATACCCCGCCCTTCACTACCCAAAGGTGTCTCAGAGCGGCTTACAAACTCCTTTTCCTTCCCCTCCCCGCAACAGACACCCTGGGAGGTAGGTGGGGCTGAGAGAGCTCTGACAGAAACTGCTCTTTTTTCAAGAACAGCTCTTATCAGAACTATGGCTTGCCCAAGGTCCTCCAGCAGGTGCAAGTGGAGGAGCAGGGAATCAAACCCGCTTCTCCCAGATTAGAGTCCGTGCACTTAAAAAAGGACAGATAAATAATCACAAATGTTAAGTATTCGATTATGTTTATTTAAATATTTAGCATCTTTATTACAGTGGTACGAAAATGGCAGGCCAGGCGTGGCAGATGCCTTCGTATGTGTGACTGTAATAAAGAAGGCAAATGCTATGCTGGGGATTATTAGGAAGGGTATTGAAAACAGATCAGCCAATATCACAATGCCCCTATATAAATCAATGGTGCGACCTCATTTGGAATACTGTGTGCAATTCTGGTCACCACACCTTAAAAAGGATATTATAGCTTTGGAAAAAGTGCAGAAAAGGGCAATTCGAATGATAAAAGGGTTGGAACACTTTCCCTATGAGGAAAGGTTAAGGCGCTTAGGGCTCCTTAGCTTGGAGAAACGACGACTGAGGGGTGACATGATTGAGGTTTATAAGAATATGCATGGGAAAGAGCAGGTAGAGAAAGAGGTACTTTTCGCCCTTTCTCACAATACAAGAACCCGTGAGCACTCCATGAAATTGCTGAGCGGTTGGGTTAGAACGGATAAAAGGAAGTACTTCTTCACCCAAAGAGTGATTAACACTTGGAATTCACTGCCACAGGAAGTGGTGGCGGCTACAAGCATGGACGGCTTCAAAAGGGAATTAGATAAGCATATGGAGCAGAGGTCCATCAGTGGCTATGAGCCACAAGGTATAGATCAGTGGCTATTGGCCACAAGGTATAGATAGGGGCTCTGGGGCAAGTGATGCTCTGTCATCTTGGTGCTGGGGGGGGGTCAACAGTGGGAGGGCTTCTAATGTCCTGGCCCCACTGGTGGACCTCCTGATGGCACTGGTATTTCTGGCCACTGTGTGATACAGAGTGTTGGACTGAATGGGCCTTTGGCCTGATCTGACATTGGCATCTCTTATGTTCTTATGTCCATGCAGAGGACACAGCGAAAACGCACCCAGACGGCCAACCACACTCTCCGAGGATTTATCTTGGGGTGGGTGAGCTGACTCTTGAAAAGTGGCAGTATTAGATGGTCATCGTAACAAAGTCTTAACAAGGTATCTGACAAAAATAAGTAGGTTTCACTTCTAGACCAGATCAATCCTGAACTTCCCCTAGAAGCTAAAATGACCAAACTGAGGCTGTCGTAGCTTGGTCACATCATCATTATCATCCAGAACTTATTAGACCGCCCTTCCTTGCAAGCAGGGCTCAGGGTGGCTTACAACAGAAACAAATACAATAAATATTTCATTTAAAACCAACATTAAAATGCCTAAAACATATCAACAAATAAAGCAATACACATGCCAAGATGGTGGCAGAAAAAAAAATCAGCTTCCACAAGCATCCTAGGGGGGAGGGGGGAGAGTGCCAGGTTTTATACCGTCCCATCGCTGTCCACAACCAAATGCCTGGCGGAACATCTCTGCCTTGCATGCCCTGTGGAAGGTAATAATTCCTGCAGGGCAGGGGTGTTCTCCGGCAGAGAGTTCCACCAGTTTAGGACAGTCAGATCTATTTCAGGCTGAAGACAAGACTCAGTGGAAAAGACAGAAATGCTTGGAAACGTTGAAGGCAGCAGGAAAAGAGGAAGACCCAACAGGAGATGTATTGACTTTATGAAGGAAACCACAAGGGCCCTCAGTTTGCAAGACCTGAGTAAGGCTGTAAATGATAGGACGTTTTGGAGATCACTCATTCATAGAGTTGCCAGAAGTCGGAAATGAGCCAGTTTGGTGTAGTGGTTAAGTGTGTGGACTCTAATCTGGGAGAACCGGGTTTGATTCCCCACTCCTCCACTTGCACCTGCTGGAGGACCTTGGGCAAGCCATAGTTCTGATAAGAGCTGTTCTTGAAAAAGAGCAGTTTGTGTCAGAGTTCTCTCAGCTCCACCCACCTCACAGGGTGTCTGTTGTGGGAAGGAGAAGGGAAAGGAGTTTGTAAGCCGCTCTGAGACTCCAAGTGAAGGGCGGGGTATAAATCCAATCTCTTCTCTTCTTCTTCTTGATGGAACTTAACACACCCACATCTGTGGAGCAGTGGTTTCCAGTGCCAGTGTGTGATTTAACAATTCACAATTTTAGCCAGATAACCATTTTCCTCCTCCACAAAGCAAGATGCCAAAAAGAACATACTCTTGTCACTTGAAAAAAAACTAGCAACATGGGTTCTCACAGCCTTTTAAAGACTGAGTTATTGTGACGAATTCTACAGAGACAGCTGCATTTGCCTCCTGCATTAAAAACAACAAGGAATCTTGCAGCAACCCAGAGACGAAAAAATTTCTCCGCCAGCTGAAGATTTTTGCGAACTGGAACCGATTCAGTCCAGCCGCACAAGGTGGGGGTCCTCAGTTGGCAGATTATCCGTGCATGTATAACACAGGCAGATAACGGCAGTTTGAAACCGTTTTCTCCATAGTCATGTATAGCTCTGTGCCTGCTAACTACAGTTGCCAGTCTCCAGGTAGGGGCTAGAGATCTGGAATGGAAACTATCTCCAGACTACATAAATGATTGATTATTTAAGACATTTGTTCAATTTCTCCTGGAGAATAATGGCTGCTTTGGAAGGTGGACTGCATAGCATCGTGCCCCTCCTATCCCCAGGCTCCACCCCCCAAATTCCCAGGAATTTCTGAACCCAGGCTTGGCAACCCTACTGCCGACTGCAAATCCATCTCGTGCAACAACTGCCTGTACACGTGGCCTTCTCTGTTGTGGCCCCCACCTGATGGAATGGCCTGACGAGGTCAGGAAGGCCAGGAAGGCTCCCACTCTCCTGGCTTTCCATGAACACGGAATTATCCAGGAGGACCTTTGGATGCAGGTAATAGGGCTGTACTGAAAGAAAATGGTTCAGAAAGACGCCTTGACGAAGGGATCGGCACTGGGGGCTATACTACTGTGTACTGTCTGTTGCTTTAAGCATGTTCCCACTATGTAATTTCAGCACCTTTTAAGTGTCATGTTTAAATACTTACGGTTTGTTTCAACGGTTTCAAATTTCTGCAACCCAAACCCCATTGCACTGCTTACTGAATGCCCAATCCTGTTACCCGTATCTGACTTTTTTGTGTGATGCTATGTGTTTCAGTGAGAAAGGTGGACTACAAATCATGTAAATGAATAAATAAAATAAATCTGATGAGGTGGCCTCTAGTCCACAAGGACTTCTGCTAGAAAAGGTCAGATTTTTTTTGTGGCATCAGGAGCAACAGCCTGCTCCACCAAATGTGTGGTGGGACTCCTCAGTAAATACGAGTTGATTCTATTTTTGCCCCACTTTTCAGTCAAAATTGGTTCCCAAGAGACACAAAGGAATAACTGGGATGGGAAATACCCAGAGATTTTGAGGTTGGAACCTGAGCAAGTTGGGGTTTTGGGGAGGGGAGGTACTTCAATGGGGCAAGATGCCATAGAATCTGCCTTCCAGAGTGGCCATGTTCTGCAGGTGAACTCATCTCGGTTGCCTGGAGATCAGTTGTAATCCCAGATCTCCGGCCACCTGGAGACCAGCAACCCTCGGTATTACACAGATAACGCTTTTATATTTTTTGCCTGGAGCAATATAGCCACTTACATCTTTATTATCTTCACAAGGCTGATGATTGAAGAAACTTGCGCAGGTACAAACAGACACCAACTTTTGGTACCTTTTTCAACCTCCGTTGCCTAGCAACAGCAGCCCTTCAACCCCCCCCCGAGCCCTCAGAGAGCCTGACCTGGATCACGTGACGACAGTCCCCAGTAGGCGACCTTTGCGAAGCACCCGAGCGCGCTTTATTTTTTAAAAAGTAATGACATGTGACCAAAATCTTTTTTTTTAATTTCGTCAGCCAATCAGACAGCACGCCCGCGCGGGCGCGAGAAACAGGAAATTACATATTCACACGCTACTTCCGGATACTTTCTTGTTCCGTTTCCCCCGCGTCACGCGGCGGGGAATACAGTTAACAAGGTCACCCGCCTTTTCTTAAAGGGGCCATGTCGCTATGGGCTCTGCTAAGACGGCTGCCACGAACAAAGCTGGCAGTCGCGCCGCTTCTAGCGGCCTCCGGCCGAGGCTTCTGCCGGCGCCACCTCCACGCGCAGGAGAGGCCCCGGCCGCACGGCGGAGCCACGCCCATTGCCTTCGGCCTCGTCCTATCAGGCAAGTGGGCGGTACTTCGGGAACCGCTAGTTGAAAGCACACGCAGGGGTGTGGCTTTCAGCGAAGGGGCAGAGCTTATTATGTGGGCGGGGCGTCTCCCTTGATTGGAGATCGGCACGGTGGAGCAAAGGAAGGCGAAAGCTATCAAAAATAATTCTATGCTGACAATTTTTGTGGGAAAAGAATCAAATTTTCTCTGTACTAAATTATATTTTACAGTTGTTAATCATACTTGCTTGGGTGTTGCTGAATTTCTGTCTTATGCACTAGGGGTGCCAACGGGAGAAATGAAACGTCTTTCACAGAGGCATAAAGGGATGCTATTCACCTGGCCATGAAAAGTGTCAGTGGTCCATTTCTATGTATTAAGACTCTGTTAAAGGTGCAGAACGTTTTTCTCCAGGCCTGTTGGCAACCACTTTATGCACAGGGAAAGGCCAGATACCCATACCTTCTTTTAAAAAATGTTGTTCAGTCACACAGTCGAGTCCGACTCTTTGCGACCCCATGGACCACATCACGCCAGGCCTTCCTGGCTTCCATCGTCCTCCGGAGTTTGCTGAATTTCATGTTCGTTGCCTCGATAACACTGCCTAACCATCTCATCCTTTACCGTTAAAAAATAAGCAACAACAATTGCCTCAAGTTGAGAGAAGTTTTTTTCCTGACTGCCCCTACTGCTGCTTATCCTCCCAAGTCCAGAACTAAATATTTTTAATGTATGTAAGGAAGACACAAATAGGGCCCACAAAAAGCCTTGAGCCAGGGTGAGAGGCTCAAATAGGGTTGTGAGCTCCGAGTTGAGAAATTCCTGGAGTTTTGGGATGGGACCTCAGAAAGGGATAATGCCAGAGAGTCCACCCTCTGAACCTACCACTTTCTCTAGGGGAACCAATTAGTTGTAATTCCAGGAGAACTCCAGCCCGCACCTGGAGGTTGGCAACTCTGTGTCCAGATCACGGGAGGTGGTCGTTCGGCTCTATTCTGCTATGGTCAGGCCTCACCTGGAGTCCTGTGTCCAGTTTTGGGCACCACATTTCAGGAAGGATGCTGACAAGCTCGAGCGTGTCCAGAAGAGGCAACCAGGATGGTGAGAGGGCTGGAATCCAAGTCTTACGAGGAAAGGCTGAAATAGTGGGGTATGTTTAGCCTGGGAAAGAGAAGGCTTAGGGGGGACATGATTACAGTCTTCAAGTATTTGAAGGGCAGTCATGTAGAAGATGTACCAGATCTATTCTCTCTTGCTCCGAATTGCAAGACTAGATCTAATGGGTGGAAATTACAAGGGAGTCGTTACCGGCTAAATATCAGGAGAAACTTCCTAACTGTAAGAGTGGTTGAGCAGTGGAACAGTCTGCCTCGAGAGGTGGTGGATGCTCCTTTGCTGGATGTTTTCAAGCGGAGGCTGGACAACTATCTTATGGGTATGTTGTAGGGTTGTCTTTCGGCTGTGCTCCTGCAGAGTGCAAGGGGATTGGACTAGATGACCTGCAAGGTCCCTTCCAACTCTAACATTCTATTATTCTAACTCTAGGCTCAAATTTCCTCTTGGTGTTGGTTCCTGAGGTGTGTCAGAGCAGCCCCCCATCTTTGACACTCATGCACCAAGGGTTGCCAGCTCTAGGTTGGGAAATAACTGGAGATTATGGGGATGGAAGGGTGGGGTTTGGGGAAGGGAGAGACCTCAGCGGGATATAACGCCATAGAGTCCACCCTCCAAAGCAGCCATTTTCTCCGGGGGAGACTGATCTCTGCTGTTTGGCAATAAAGTATAATTCCAGGAGATTCCCGGGCTACACCTGGAAGTTGGCAACCATACATGCACCCCAAATAGCATCCTCTGCATGATGGAGTGATGCCCCTTTTCTCTCCCCAGCTTCTTCTCTGTTCTCCCAAGAAGCTGAAGAGGAGACAGAGAAGGATGCCACGGAAAGCCTCCTAGAAGAGGCAGAAGAGGAGATAATTTTTTTGCTGAAAAAAGCCAAGGTGAGGCAGCGGAAAGAATATTTGAGTTTTAGGAGAAAAATGCCCCTGGATTTGAGGCTTGACTATTTGTCACCCCGCCTCCACAAGTCCTTCTGAGGATATTGTCTTTCCGTGCTGCCTCTGTAGCCAGCTCTGGGTTGGGAAATACCTGGATATCTTGGGGGTGGATCCTGGGGGGGTGGGGAGGGGAGGGACCTTAGCCGGGTATAATGCCATAGTATCCACCCTCCAAAACAAACATTTTTTCCGGGGGAATTGATTTTGGTCGCCTGGAGACCAACTGCAATAGCAGGAGATCTGCAGGTGCCACCTGGAGGTTGGCAGCCTTATGTCTCCAGTGCCTCTCCCCATGGCACTTCCATGCACCCCTACATGGGTGGAAATATGTGTAATGATTCCATGTTTTGGTGTGTGTATTTCTTTAAATGTTTTGTTTGACCGTAATACTGTAAGAAGGCTGATAGAGGGAGACAAGTGTGATGTGACTGGCTGATGACTGAGAGTGTGGGAGGAGGGGTGTCTATGAGAGTGATTCTGTGTGTGAAGTTTGAAGGGAGAACATAGTTTTTGAGTCCTTTCTGTGTAAATAAGACAAACGGTTTAGTCTGTGTGAATATGGGTTTTGAGTCTATTCTGTGTGATGAAGACAAAGAGTTCAGCCTGTGTGGCGATATAGATGAGTGAGAGATTAGACTGAGAGTCTACGCCTGAGTGGAGTTTTGGGAGTTTGAGAGACTGTTTGTGAGATCAAGCTTTGCCAGTTTTATTTACAAGTTTTTTTTTATAAGCAACAGTTCAAAATATCTAGGAACCTATTTTGTTCCTTATTAAATAAATCATTTTTTTTGTTTAAACTTATCCCAGAAATCAGAACAGTCCTTCCTCAGGGTCACATAGTCCTCTGAAGTGCCCAGACCCTAGGTCATTCTACCAAAAGAGAGAGATTTGAAATTTTTAATTCCTGGTGGCAGCAGAAATCTACCAAGTTTAGGTACACGGAGAGTATTTTAAAGGTGAAACTGTCTCCCCAATAAGCAAGGACGCCACAACATGACACTTTATTGTATCTTCCCAGCTTTCCACTCATTGGTTTGGGGTGGTTTTTTCTCCCTCCCCTCCAGCTCTGCATCATGAAAGGAGAGCTGGAAGAAGCTGAGCGGCTCCTGCACGAGGCTGCCCGACTCTCTCACCAGTCCAACAACAGGAATGGCATCATCTACACGTATGACACGGTTTGTCTGGGAACAGCTCTGTGCTTTGCAACAGTGAGATTGGTGTGAGGTAGGGTTGCTGGCTCCCAGTTGGGAAATACCTGGAGATTCTGGGGGTGGAGCCTGAGGAGGCGGGGTATGGAGAGGGGGAGGGACTTCAGTGTGGCATAATGTCATTGAGTCCACCTTCCAAAGTCGCCATTTTCTTCAGGGGAACTGATCTCTCTTCTCCTGGAGATCAGTTGTAATCAGGGTCGCATTACGACGTCCTATGGGCCCTGGGCACTTTTGCCTTCGTGGGCCCCTCCCACCATAATAATATCAATATTAAAAATTATTTTTGATATAACTTTAGATACCTCAACATTTTAATGTTTTTGTTTTAGGCAAAATAGATTTTCGGGGGCCCTAATTTTTTTTTTTCTGAGGAGAGAAAAAATTAAGACATTTTCTTTGACCATAAACGTTCATTCCCCCCCACCCCACTGATTTTAAAAGAAAATTTTTGTGGGCCCCTAAAAGTATTGTGGGCCGCAGGCACTGTGCCTACTGTGGATAAGTCGGCCCTGGTTGTGATCCCAGGAGTTCTCCAGCCACCACCTGGAGGTTGACTACCCTAGCCGAGGGACAAAATGTAAACGCTTATAAAGGCCATTAAAACTAGGGCTGCCAAGCCGCGGCAGGGGATCCGCACGTCTTCACAGGATCCCTGCCGCGGGGGACAGCGATACGCGTTGCACCGCCATCGCCAGGATGTGACGCTACGTGTCGCTCTGGCAACGGGACTCCAAACAGCCCCGCGGCAAGGATCCTGTGAAGATGTGCGGATCCCCCGCCGCGGCTTGGCAGCCATGATTAAACCTAAAGTAATGATTCAAGTCCTTCTTGAAAGTGGGTAGTCAGCAGCTCTTGAAATCAAGAGTGGTGGGGTGGGGGCAGTGTCTTAGGCGATTCCAGTGGTCAATGTTGTGTCTTAACCATTGAAACACAATGTTAAGCTTGAGACCTCAGCCGGATTCTAATCTGGAACAACACCATTGGCTGAAGCATGTTCTGTAACCAATGAAATGTAAGAGGTCTGTACTGGAGGGAAGATAAATGATTGGTTGTTATCTATGCAATATGATTGGATGGTAACTATGTGAGGGCGTGGTTACGCCAGCCCGGGAGAGTTTAAAAAGGAGCTGTGCTCCACTGCTACCTGTGTGTGTGGAGTCGTGTGTCGTCTGATGCTGTGTGATCTTTGGAAGTTCTCGTTCTCAATACAGCTGATTCACTTTGTTACTTACTTCGTTGTTGAGTTGCATACTTAACAGTCAGGTTTCTTGCCTCCTGGACAGGAAAAGTAAAAGGAGAATCCATCATCGGTCTTCATTTTTATCTCCCCCTCCCTCCAGGGATCTCCCAGTGTAGTGCATGAGTCTCCTTCCTCCTTTTTATCCTCAAGTGAAAGAACTGGGGCTCTAAAGAGCCGCCTAAAAATTCTATCTCCTTGCCTGCATTCTGTTCCTACAGCAGTGCTGGGAAATAACTCAGGCAAAGAAAGGGTGATTAGCCTAAGTTTACTTAGTGGGCTTCAGGGTTGGAGTCGGTATTTGAACTTAGCTTCTGTGGATATTGTAACTCTGCATGCAAGAGGCTTTGGGTAGACTTGGCAGTTGGCCCCACCCTCTCATGGGAAAGACGTTGAGCCTCCTTGGCCCTTGCTTGTCTTCAGTTTTTCATCTTATAAGGGACCTCCCCTTTTCTCTCTCTTCCCTGGGCTTGGAGCTGTAGTAAGTTAACCTTTTTGTTTTGTATAATACATTTTATTAAAGTTTTTACGATAATACAAAGTGAAAGTAAACATCAAAACTTCAGTGAGTTATATCTACGCTAAAATCAAGTTAACACTTAATGGTATAGGGTGAAAATTTTAGATTATGCACAATCACGTTTGCATCTCAAAACTTAAGATCGGAAACTAAAAGAACATGAATACAAACACAGTCAAGAGTACCATTACTGAACAATTGGATCTAAGTGACCTGCTTTACCAGAGCCATAGGGTATCCATCACTGGAGGAATATCCTGCAACTTGGAGAGATAAGATAGGGTAGGAAACCATACTGAAGTAATGTTGGTACGGGTAGGACATTTATCAAAACACGTAAGATTATCCGAGAGTTTAGCCATAATATACATATCCCACAACTTTTTTGAAGTTAATCTGTTCACAATAAGTTTTTTTATATAAAAATCTGCCCTCAAATGGTACAATTTTATTTGTTTTTTCATAACAGACAAACCTAACATACATACATATAACACAAACGGGGGTATCAAATGCTTAAGTTTCCAATAATATTCTCTATTATATATAGAGAATATATAGAATATAGAGAATATCTATTAGATAGATATTCTCTGTGTAATACAATATCACATATCATTATTTTCTATGAGCTCACATTTTTGTATCTTAAAACCAACATCTGTACCTGCTATCTCAATGTTCTAACCTATACTTTGCTCTAGGGATGTTCACAATAAGTTAAAGGTACCTACATGAATATGTCATGTGACATGTTGCTTCTGTTTTTGTTTTTTTTAAGTAAAATTTCTTTCTCCTGTTACCACTGGAGTCAGATCATCTTTGTAGCTTGTTTGAACAGCGTTTTCCCCTTATCCGGGAAACGTTGAGGATTGAGGGTACTGTGTAAAACTTCTGTGCTTCCAAGGCATTTGATTTTTTTAAACATTTAACCCATTCGCTTCTGCCTGTTTGTGGTCCCAGTGCTCTAATCACTGTACCACACAGGCCGTCATACAAAATGATTGTGTTTATGTAAATCTATTCTAAATAGACTCTTCCTCTGCTATACTGCAGATGGCGAACCTGGCCTTTCTGCGGGGGCAGCTGGACCATGTAAGTGAATGCTATAAAATAACTCCCACTGCATGTTAAGGGGGGCCTGGGAGGGCCTGGGGTTCCCAGGTCTGGGTCGGGAAATACCTAGGGACTTTGGGGGTGGAGCTCGGGGGTGGTGGGGTTTGGGGAGGGGAGGGGCCTCAGCAGAGTATAATAGACTCTGTCCTCCAAACCTGCCATTTTCTCCAGAGGAATTGATCTTGGTCGTCTAGAGATCAATTATATTAGCAGGTAGGTTGGCAACCATACCTTCTTGGGAGGACAGTCACCACATGAAACTTCCTTATACTGAAGCATACCATTGGGCTGTCAAAGTCAGCTCTTTTTGTAGCAGGGACTCCTTTGCATATTAGGCGACACACCCCTCATGTAGCCAATCCTCCAAGAGCTTACAGAGCTCTTCTTACAGGGGCTACTGTAAGCTCTTGGAGGATTGGCTGCATGAGGGGTGTGTCGCCTAATATGCACAGGAGTCCCTGCTACAAAAAGAGCCCTGAAAGTCAGTATCGTCTGCTCAGACTGGCAGCGGCTCTCCAGGGTCTCCGGCAGAGAACTTTCACATCACCTCCTACCTGATCCTTCTAACTGGATTTAACCGGAGACTTTCTGGGTGCCAAGCAGATGCTGGGTCACTAAGCCAGAGTGGTTAAGAGGGGTGGGACTCTAATCTGGAGAACTGGGTCTGATTCCCCACTCCTCCACCTGCAGCCAGCTGGGTGACCTTGGGTCAGTCACGAGCTCTCTCAGCCCCACCTACCTCACAGGGTGCCTGCTGGGGGGGAAAGGAATGGAAGGTGATTGTAAGCCGCTCCTTCAGGTAGTGAAGGGTGGGATATAAAACCAGCTCCTCTTCATCTCCTTCTCTCCTCCACTGTGCCCTCTCCATTGACAGTTGTCCATTTTTCATTTCAGGCAGAAAAACTCTTCAAGGCAGCCATGACCTTCCTGCTGGCCGGAAACATGGAACAAGTAAGGACCCCCCCCCTTTCGAGGGCTCTCTCCCAATGTCAGCAAAGCTGGTCCAGTGTTCCTAGAGTTCCGAACTTAAAAATCAGCAAATGTTGCAAGCAGTGCCAAATTGCATGGCTATCTGGAAGAGGAAGGGGGAAAAGAGAAGTATCTGTTGAATCTTATTGACCGAGAAGAAAAAAAAACAAGTTGCTTACCTGTAACTGGTGATCTTCGAGTGGTCATCTGTGCATTCACACCCATGGGATACAGTATGCATGCGCTGGATCGATCGGCATTGTAGCAAGCTCTTAATGGATTTTTGCGCCCAGACCTCGGGCATACACAGGAACCCCACCATGCATGCCCAGAGGGGTGGGCACGGACATCCCGCCAGGTCCTTCGAACCGCCGCGAATCAACCCCTATGGAAAATGTAGAAGCTGACAGCAGCGGGGAAGGTGGGCGGGTGGTGTGAATGCACAGATGACCACTTGAAGATCACCAGTTACAGGTAAGCAACCTGTTTATCTTTGACGTGGTCTCTGTGCTTCACACCCATGGGAGATTAGCGAGCAGTGGCCTACCTGGAGGAGGGTGCTGGCAGGTCATTACTGCGAAGCCGAGGATAAGATGTGACGTCCCATGTTGGTACGAGAGTTCTTTCGGACATCTAGGGCGTAGTGCCTTATGAAAGTGTTAGGCGTAGCCCATGTAGCGGCTCTGCAAATGTCCCTTAGGGGAACTCCCTGGAGGAAGGCAGTTGAGGCTGCAACAGCTCGGGTTGAATGAGCCCTGATAGGGCCAGGCAGTGGCTGTTTGGCGATCAGATAGCAGAGGCAGATGAGACCTACAATTCACCCTGACAAACGCTGAACCGTGATGCGAGTTCCCAGCCTTGCTGGTGCATAGGAAATGAACCGTTGACAGTCACGTCTTGTTGGACGGGTTCTGTTTAGGTAGAACAGAAGCGCACGCTTCGTATCCAAAGTGTATAACAGCCTTTCCTCTGGGGATGTTGGAGCAGGGAAAAAATTCGGGAGGAAGACCTCTGCCTGTAGGTGAAATTCTGAAACTACCTTTGGCAAGAACGAGATGTCAGGTACAAGGCGGATGCCGTCTGGCAAAAATGACAAGTAAGGAATGTCATGTCTGAAAGCCAGTATTTCTCAAGTAAAGAGTGTCATGTCTGAAAGCCAGTATTTCTCCAACTCACCTTGCTAAAGTGACAGCGACCAGAAAGGCTGTTTTCCAGGACAGGAATTTTATGTCGCAAGTTGCGAGCAGTTCAAAAGGTTTCCTGGTGAGTTGGCGAAGGACCAGGGGAAGGTCCCAGGGGACAACAGGAGTTTTGATGGGAGGTGTAAGGAAGACACCAACCTGGCTGTAATACAGCAGCTCAGTAGAACTGAAGGACGGCAGGAGGGGGAGGATCAACCTTGCAAGTCTTCACAGGAACTGTCCGGTACTCAGCTTTGCAAGAGCTGCACAGCTGAGATCTTTTAATGGACAGCTGCACTGGAGACAGGGAGGGGCAGCGTCTTAACAGGTCCTTCAATAGATAAAATAGCAAAAGGTGTGGGGGGAAAAAGGATAACGCGCGTTTGGTGGGTAGGATGTTTTCCTACCTTGTGGAGTTATTGTAAGTGCTATTTTAATTACTTTTTTGTATTTTGGCAACCTCCTGAAGGACGTTTGCTTTATCCTTAAAGCATTGTTAATTGAGGTTGCCTTTGTTGTTTTTCCGACAATAAAAGCTTTTTTTGCCTAATTTGCCAAGCCTGATTGTGGAGCCTGAAGTATTCTGCCAGAGAACCCGAAGCCTGTGTCTTACATGGTGGCATGGTGGGTTGGCTCAAAGCTTAAAGATCAAACAGGCAAAAAGGTGAAAGAAGGCTATTAAGAAGGACTGCTGATCCATGGATTATTCGGAAGGGATATTATGTAACATGGACCCAGTGCTGGCCTCAGTAGGATTAGAAGGATCTTTTTATCAGGAAGAGTCCTTTCGAAGATACTCCTCTGAGAAAGTATTTGATACGAGACTAATTCTAGAGGAGTGTAATGATAATGAAGCTGCCTTAAGGAGGAGGGTCTCACAACCGAAAACAGATGAGAAAGCCTGGCAAACAGGAGTACAGA